TCCTTGGAGGGGGGCCCTTCTCGGCCTCCACCGCGCGCGCTCCTCGCTTCTCTCGCCCGTCTCCTCTCGCCTCCTCTCCCGTCCCCTCCCCTCTCCCTCTCTTCTCTCTCTCTCTCTCTCTCTTTCTATCCTCTCTCTCCCTCTCTCTTCTTGACCTCGCCCTCTCTCTCCTGTCCCCTAGCCTTCCAGGAGGGAGGGGGGAGGGGCCTGCTCGCCCTCCCCTCGGAGATTGCCAGAGGTGGTCCCGGCCCCAGAAACATAAAAACTCGGAGGTCCGCGCAGATTGCTCGGATCGGCGCTAGGGCAAGCGGCCCGAATGCGCGCGGCTGCAACTGTCGAAACCTACAGGCCATCTTGGACGACCAAGATCCGAGCGACCCCAGGGACGCCACCTGCTACCACGCCGTCCTGGCGAACGCTTACAGCAGCACGGTGAGCCCAGAACCGCTACGCCCGACGAGCTGCCCCCACGCCGAGTGGAGCTCACGGCACAGGAATAACGCAAGGCTCAGGTCGGGCGTGTCCCCCTACAGGCGGATTTTGAACGAAAACTCAAAAAACTACCCCCCAAAAAAATATTCCCCAAATAGCCAAACAGTCGTTCCTAGACTATTTTTTACTATTTGGGAATATTCCTCCTGTACGGGGACAGGCCCGACTTATTGCAAGGCGAGAGCGGAGTCACCAGACACCACCAAGACGTCAGCGCCACTGGGCCAGGAGACCAAGGACACCCACCACGCCGGGCCCGTGACTCTCCACATCATTGCGGAGAGTCACGGGCCCCAGAGAAGCCACTCCACAGCAGGTGGTGCTGTGATCTTCTACCCCGAACATGAAGCCGCGACGACTGGGAGACGGATAATCGAACAGCCCTGGAGGCTCGCACTCGCGGGCATGACCGAAGCGCAAAAGAAGACTGCCCAAGCAAAGTACGCCAGGGATCTCCTCGAAAAGAGAATTCATGGGGACGCTGCCAGGTGGAAGGACGCCGCACTCTCCCGGAGAGATAAAACTCTGCATCCCCAGCCCCTCGCCTTCGACGCCTTGCCTGAGCACAACAACAAAAGCGGGCAAATCGAACTACGCGACCGCGTCGCCAAAGTCGCCCGCCACCCGCAGGCTAGAGGCACCATGGCCCACTACAGACAAGACCGCCCAAGTGGCGCACCTTCGCGGCACCAGCGACTCCTCCGTCCCCGAATACCCAGCAACGACGCACGTCGCCACGCTCGAGGCAGAAGCCGGCCTGCGCCGCCGAAGGTCGCGTAGAGGCCCGAGCACCGGCCCACCGCGCCGAGCACACGCCGAAGCAGCCCAGCCACCCGCCACCAGGCGTCGATGAGGCGGCCAAAGATCGAGTTCAGCTCACGCCAAGGCAACCCAGCCACCAGCCGCCAGGCGCGGGCGACATAGCCAGCGGCACCGCCACCGCACGCACGGGAAAAAAAATGCCCCGCACCGCCCGGCGACCGTTGTCCTCCAAGAATAGTGGCCCGCGAAACCAAGGGAAACAGAGACCAACTCGACCGCGCGCAGTCGCCACAGTGGCCACTTGAACCACGACGCCACGAAGCGCAGGGGCGCGCGTCTTCCTCGGACTCGTTTTCGCCGAGATCTTCGGCAAGGGCGCCACTGAGGGCAACAGACCAAAGGCGCCTCGGGGCCAACACGGAGAAACCAAAGTGCTCAACGCCAAAAGCATACCCTTCAAGGCAGCAACAGCGAGCGCAAGAGATAAGCCGACGCCGATGGGCTGTAAAGGCCAGGGCAGCCTGCGATTCCGCAGGATACCAAACTGTGCTCCCCTCCCCGGGTTTCACACGCCCGAAATGGATACGGGAAAATTCACGATGCCCAACCGAGAACGTTGTCCAAGACTGGCGGCGGCCGCCGATGGGCGCGCGGCGTGCGTCTCAAGTTCGCAGTCCGCGGCGGCACCGACAGCGACTCCTGTTCAGAATCGGCGAGAACTGCTGCTGACCTTCGCAACCATTATTTCCGCTTCTGAGAGGGGAGGGAAACAGGGGGAGATTGGCTCAGGTGGGAAACGTCGACCTGGACCTGGAATCGACGCTGCATCGCCGACAGGTCGGCGGTGGGGCCTCGACAGCGAAGCTGTAAGCTCCAGGGCGGGGCAAGCCGCCGAGCCCCCATCTGCGATGCGTGGGCGCGAGCGGGGGTCGACGCGTCCCCCCCCCCCTGATCCTGCCCTCCACTGACGAGGGCGAAGACGTCAACATACTGGACGCGTCATACGCTGGCGCGGTGCTCACGTCTCCCCCACCCTAGAAACCCATTATTGGATGCTCGTTCTGGGGACCTTCCTGGAGCCACTCACTCCACTCGTGCGTCGAAGCTGCGTCGAACGTCAGTCGATGTGGGTCGACCCCGAGTCGAACCCGAATCGAACCTGAACCTGAGTCGAACCTGAGTCGAACCCGAGTCGAACTGGGGTCGAACAGATCCGTTGGGTGGGCTCCAGGAAGGTCCCCGAAACGAGCATCGAACCACTACCTCTGTAGACACACACACACCCTGGTGCGTGCAGGCCGTCGGGAGGCAGGCCGTGCGGGCGTCGCCGCGGCGGCGGAGCGCCCGGGAGCGCGCCCTCGAGCGGGCGCCGCGCGGCCGGCGTGCGGGCCGCAGCGTGCTCTTCCGCGGGCGGATCGCGAGGGACGCAGACCAGCCGCGCGGACGGACTGTGCCCCGCGGCACGTTTTCGATGGGTGATCGCGGGGGGGGCACAGAGTTCGTGCCCTTCGGCAGCGTGCGCGGGACGTGGCCCGCACCATGTGTCCAACGGAGGCTCGTGCAAGCTTGGGAGTCGGCTTCGCGTGGCGATTTGCGCCGCACCTCATTTCTAATGGAGGATCGTGGAGTCCAGGAAGTACCCCCCCCCAAGGCAGGGACCACGGAGCACTTTCTCCTGTGGGATTCAAATACTGAAAAATAATGCTTAGACCACAGGCGCGCTCTCGGCGAGGTGCAGCTGCTGGAGAGAGCATCCCGAGGCTGAAGAGCCGCCGGCAGCCGACGAGAACGTCCGAAAACCTGCCGCTGCCAGCGACGCGAGCTCCAAGCACGCGCCCACGGGCGTTGGATGTTCATTCTGGGGACCTTCCTGCAGACATTCGCTCCACTCGTGCATCGAAGCTGCGTCGAACGTCCGTCGATTTGAGTCGACCTCGAGTCGAACCTGAATCGAACCTGAGTCGAACTTGAGACGAACTCGAGTCCAACGTGAGTTGAACTGGGGTCGAACTAGAGTCGATCAGATCCGTTAGGTGGCCCGAGGAGGGTCCCCAAAACGAGCATTAAAAAACCTGCCGCTGCCCGCAACGCGAGCTCCGAGCGCGCGCCCACGGGCGCCTTCTCTCCTGCCGCCGAGGGCCCGCCACCAGCGGGGCCGACAGCGCCTGCAGCCTCCGGAGTGCATCGGGGGCGGCCAAGAGGGGGGCGTCCAAGAGGGGGGGGGGCGCAAACCATGGCCGGCGACATGTGCGCGGCCAGGGGGGGGGGCCGGGGACGTAATGAAACAAGAAGAGGCGCCATGAAATCTGAGGAAATACCATGGCCCACGCCATGATGTCCACCCCACCCTAGACATCACCACCCTCTTGGCCGCCCCCGAGGAGTGCAGCTGACGCGGCCCTGCAGGAAACGGTTCTGGGACCCCCGGGGGGGAGGAGGAGGAGGAGGAGGAGGAGGAGGAGGAGGAGGGAGGAGAGGAGGAGGAGGAGGAGGAGTGAGGAGGAGGAGGAGGAGGAGGAGGAGGAGGAGGAGGAGCGGAGAGGAGGAGGAGGAGGAGGAGGAGGAGGAGGAGGAGGAGAGGAGCGGAGGAGGAGGTGGAGGAGGAGGAGAGGAGGAGGAGGAGGAGGGGAGAGGAGTAGGAGGAGGGAGGAGGAGGAGGAGGAGGAGGAGGAGGAGGAGGAGGAGGAGGAGGAGGAGGAGGAGGAGGGAGGAGGAGGAGGAGGAGGAGGAGGAGGAGGAGGAGGAGGAGGAGGAGGAGGAGGAGGAGGAGGAGGAGGAGGAGGAGGAGGATGGAGGGAGGGGGGAGGAGGAGGAGGAGGGGGGGGGGAGGAGGAGGAGGAGGAGGATATGAGGAGGAGGAGGAGGAGGAGGAGGAGGTGGAGGAGGAGGAGGAGGAGGAGGGAGGAGGAGGAGGAGGAGGGAGGAGAGGAGGAGGAGGCGGAGGAGGAGGAGGAGGAGGAGAGGAGGCAGGAGGAGGAGGAGGAGAGGAGGAGGGGGAGGAGGAGGAGGAGGAGGCGAAGGAGGAGGAGGAGGAGGAGGAGGAGGAGGAGGAGGACAGGAAGAGGAGGACAAAAGGGGGGCCCCTCTCCCAGAGAACCAGCTCCTCATCCTGAGCAACGGAGCAACGTGCTCGGACGGCCCCGGGGCCCGCGGGCCCCCCACGGGCCCGAGGACGGCAAGAAACCTCACCGCCCGCTCCCTGAGATCCGACGCTGCGGAGCACGCGACCTGCGTCGCGAGGAGTTACGACGGCATCTCCAGACCCCACTGGGGGGCCACATGCGAACCTCCTCCTCCTCCTAAATTCCCGAGCCAGATCGGTCTGCGAGGGCCCTGGGGCTCGACGCTGGGAGAAAACGCCCGGCACAAAGCAATGGCAGCATCAGGATCTCATGATCTCAGGGAGCTTCCCTCGGGACCCGCCTGCTTCGTGGCGGACGAGTCGGAGCAGGGCGAGTTGGGACAAGAGCAGCTCAGAGTCGATCCCTGGACCCCTCCCGGGATCCAAACCCTCCGTTTCCCGAGCCACCGCAAGCCGTGGCGACGAGGGGGCCCCCCAAACCCAATCTGCCCCTGTATCACCGGACCGTTTCCTGGGGGCCCGTCTGCTTCGCGTGGCGGCGAGCCCAGGAGGGAAAACTCCCAGGGGGCGGACCTCCTCGGAGAGCCCGGAAGGCCGCCGGCCTTCTGAGAGATGCTCTGAGCCCTCCCCGAAGACACAAGCAACTCCTCAGAGGGCCGGAGGGCTTCTGAGAAGCGCCGCCGCCTGCCGAGAAAGGCCCGCCCCCTGGCGCTTCGTCCCCGGGCACGCCGCGCCGACTCGTGGCGCGAGGCCTGCCCCAGGGCCAGCCACTTCGCCAGCGCCGCCAGCAGCCTCGCAGGATCAGTCAGCATCGGATCGGGAAATCTGAGCGAATCGGAGCGTGCGTGCGTGCGTACGTGCGTGCGTGCGTGCGTGCGTCGGAGGAGGAGGAGGAGGAGGAGGAGGAGGAGGAGCAGGAGGAGCAGGAGGAGCAGGAGGAGCAGGAGGAGGAGGAGGAGGAGGAGGAGGAGGAGGAGTAGGAGGAGGAGGAGGAGGAGGAGGGGGAGGAGGGGAGGAGGAGGAGGAGAGAGAGAGGAGGAGGAGGAGGAGGAGGTGAGGAGGAGGAGGAGGAGGAGGGGAGGAGGAGGAGGGAGGAGGCAGGAGGAGGAGGAGGAGGAGAAGGAGGGGGAGGCGGAGGAGGAGGAGGAGGAGGAGTGAGGAGGAGCAGGAGGAGGAGGAGGAGGAGGAGGAGGAGGAGGAGGGAGGAGGAGGAGGACGGGGGGAGCCTGCCACGGCACGGAGACGAGATCAAATCGGATCGGTGGCTCAACAGCGCCAGGTGCAGACTGGAGGCGGCCAAGGGGCCTGCGCTGGCCGGGCCCCGAGCAAGTCGGCCCAGAGGGGGGGGGAGGGGTCGAACAAAGGGAGAGTGGCGTTCAACGTCGGTCCAGTGCCGGAGCGTAAGACAGCCGCGCACGCCGCACTGCTCCGCCTCGCCGAACGACATACCTCCTCCTCATAGCCTCTACTCCACCTATAATCCTCTCGCCTCCTCCTCCTTCCTCCGCCGCACCCGACCACCCCCCGAGCGCATAACTCCTCATCCGCTAATTACTCCTCATCCCCCGCCCCCACCGCAGCCTCATCCTCCCCTCCCTCCCACTCCTCCTGCTCCTCCTCCTCCTCCTCCTCCTCCTCCTCACCTCTCCCTCCTCCTTCTCCTCCTCCTCCTCCTCCTCCTCCTCCTCCTCCTCCTCCGCCTCCTCCTCCCGGAGTCCATCTGGTGTTTTCACTCCAGCTCAAAGTCTGACGGTCGCAAGTCTCGAAAACGGCACCCAGACGCTGAAAACAAGTGCTGGGACACCTCAGACCCCCAGCCAGTTCCAATGTGCAGACATCGGGCTGCACCGCATCACCAGAAGTCGGAATCTGAATCGGATCGTACCGGCCGGAATCGTGCGCATCGTTAACCCATCCCAATTCCCACTGGCGTGGCCTGGGCCCCACTGGCAGATCCCCCGTAATGGGGATATGGGCTGTTCCCTTATGGTTTCGAAGGGCCTATTCCCAACTGAAGTGGTGGGATAATGGGGCTGAGCTTCCATGGCCCGGTGGGGACGGAGATAGGATTAAAGACAATGAGCATCGCTGGGGAACCGGAATTCGAATCGGATCGAACCGGCCAGAACAAGTATCGAATCGGATCGACCAGATCGACCGACGCCGAATCGATACCACATCGTAATCGATCGATACCGAGTCGGATCGGTCGATCTCAAATCGAAACGATCGATCGATACCGAATCCGCTGACCTCTTGTGGGTCTCCAGGCGTGTGAGATTCTTCCCCCCCATAAATCCCCTCCTAGGGACTCCAAAGCGAGAATTTGACCCCCCCTCTGGGGCCCGGCCCGAACGCGCCATGGGGGGATAGACGGTTCGAAAACAGGCCAAGAGGGCCCCAAGAGGCACCAAGACGGTCCAGGAAGGCCTCGAAGCGCCAGAAGGTCGTTCAAAGACGCCACAGATTGCCTCCAGACGGCTCACGCCGCCCCCACGACGCCCCAAGAGGCCTCCAAGAGGCCTCAAAATGCCTTCATTGTCTTTTCGGCTTTCCGACGCTCCAAGACAGCCCAAGAAGTCTCCAAGACCGCTCCAATACGGCCGAAGGGGTCCCCAAGGGCGCCCACAGACGGCCCAACAGGGCCCAGAAACGGCCCCAGAGCCGCCCAAGCGAGCCTACAGAGAGCTCCAAGGCCGCCCCAAGAGGGGCCCAAGAGGGAGACCATCAGCCGAGGCTGCGAGCCTTCCGCCTCGAGGGGGCCCCAGGAAACCACAAGAGGCCCACAAGGGGCCCCGAATTGCACCCAAGAGGCCTGCCGAGGGACCCCAAGAGGACCCCACGAGACCCAAGAGAGGACCCAAGAGGCCTCAAGAGGGCCCCCCAGAAGCGTCGAAACTGCTTCCAAGAGACTCCCGAGAAGCCTCCCACGAGAGTCCAACCAACGCTTCGTCGTCGTCGTCCGCGTCGTCGACGTCATCGTCGCCGTCGTCGTCGCTGTCATCGTCGTCGTCGCCGTCGTCTCCTCTTACGCTAGCATCTAACACTCGCGTATGCCCTTCTTCTCCCCGTCCCCAGCCCTCTCTCTCAAGCTTCTTCCATGATCACCCCCTCCAGCCATCACTTGGGCCACACGTGTGGTGCAATCCACGCATGCAGTCTATGCGGTGCGATCGCTGCGGCGCAAACTATGCGGCGAGCGGCGACCGGCGGCACGGGCGGCGACAGGCGGGTTTCGCGGCGGCGGGCGGCAAGGGCGGCGAGCGACGACGGGCGGCGACGGGCGGCGACGGGCGGCGTGGGCGGTCCCGTGACATTCGGGGAACCTCCCGCGCCCGCGATGATTCCCAGAATTCAGACGGGACTTCAAAGATGGCTCAGTATGGGACAACGGACTGATTCAAGGGGTCGGCGGATGTGGCAGAAACCAATTGATTCCACGTCCGGAAGTGAAGTGCTGAGCGGCAGCGTTTTCCGCGGATGCTGTAATGCAACGTATCCATTGTGTCCAAGAATTGTAGAATTGCTACAAATTGTCTTGTGTTACATTCTTATGTCTCCCCCCTACCCCCCCCCAGGGGCTACGCCACATCCGTCGACACAACCTGACAACCCCCTTGGGGGGGGCCCAAAACCTACCAAAACCTATGTAAAATCGATGATGTCGGCTTCTTGGACCTCGTGGGGGACTACGAGGGCGTCAGGACGGCTCAAGATGGCCTCTGCGCGAGCCAAGACGGCCCCAAGAAGGCCCAAAATGGTCCAAGGGGGCCCAACAAGGCCCAAGAGGGCCCCAAGAGGACCCCCAAGAGCGCCTCCAGAAGCCAAAATCGTCGATTTGTCCCATGGTTTTTTGAAGACTTCAGCGTTCCCGCCTATTTCGACTCTCAGAGGTCCAGGACGGCCGAAACAGCCTCCGAAGTGGCCCCCAGACGGCCCAAAAAGCCCTCAAGAGGGCCCCAAAACGGCCCAAGAGTGCCCCAAGACAGCCCAAAGAGGCCGCCGAGATGCCCCAAGAGGCCCCCAAGACGGCCCAAGAGCACGCCAAGACAGTCTCCGAAGGGACCAGACAGCGCAAGAGCGCCCCCAAGACGCCCACACGGGGCTCCGAGAGGCCCCCAAGAGGCCTCCCAGAGGCTCCCAAGAGGCCTCCCTGACGCCCCCGCGAGGACCCAAGAGGCCCCAAAGAGGCCTCCAACGGGCCCCCAAGAAGTTTCCAAAGGCCCGACAACGACTGGACTGTGCGTGTTCCGGACGTGCACCCCGCGAAGCGAGAGGAATCAGCATCGCACATTGCCGCCGAATGGTTTTCGAGCCATAACTCGGCTCTACAGAGACCGTTCAGGACGATCCGGACATGGAACGCCCTCGGCGAAGCACAGCCGCTTGAAGGCATCCCGAGGCTGGGAGACCGACGAGGTCCGACGAAAATACCCGAAAACATCGAACCTCGATTCGCTGGGATATCGGAATTCGAATCGGATCAAGCCGGTCAGAATCGATATCGAATTGCATCGACCAAATGGACAGACATCGAACCGATGTCACGTCGGAATCGATCGATATCGATCGGATCGATCGACCCAGAGATCCGAGGGCGCGGAGGAACAAAAAAATTACCCTGGCGACGTACCCAACCCCTGCGCAAAAGCGGGGCGCAAATAGTTTAGGATACTTTATAAGGGGGCGATGACGGAGCGAGGGTTACATATGTCTGCAGACGGAATTCGGGAGACTCGCAGGACACTGGCTACAGGAAAGGGCTTGATAAAGCTGATGATTTACAATTCCTGAGCACTCCTAGCCACTTCGAAAACGGGGATCACAGCAGGCCTCGAAAGTGGCGACAGGCTTCACAGATCGCAGCCCCGCAGGGATGGCGAGGTCTCATTTGAATCTGCCCGTGGCCCTCACTGTGCTGGGCCCCCCAGCAGGCCTCGAAAATGGCGGCAGTTTCGCAGATCGCAGCCCCCCAGGGATGGCGAGGTCTAATTTGAATCCGCGCGTGGCCCTCACTGTGCTGGGCCCCCCAGCAGGCCTCGAAAATGGCGACAGTTTCGCAGATCGCAGCCCCCCAGGGATGGCGAGGTCTAATTTGAATCCGCCCGTGGCCCTCACTGTGCGGGCCCCCCAGCAGGGCTCGAAAATGGCGACAGTTTCGCAGATCGCAGCCCCCCAGGGATGGCGAGGTCTAATTTGAATCCGCGCGTGGCCCTCACTGTGCTGGGCCCCCCAGCAGGCCGGCCTCGAAAGTGGCGACAGTTTCGCAGATCGCAGCCCCCCAGGGATGGCGAGGTCTAATTTGAATCCGCGCGTGGCCCTCACTGTGCTGGGCCCCCCAGCAGGCCTCGAAAATGGCGACAGTTTCGCAGATCGCAGCCCCCCAGGGATGGCGAGGTCTAATTTGAATCCGCGCGTGGCCCTCACTGTGCTGGGCCCCCCAGCAGGCCTCGAAAATGGCGACAGTTTCACAGATCGCAGCCCCCCCCCAGGGATGGCGAGGTCTAATTTGAATCTGCCCGTGGCCCTCACTGTGCTGGGCCCCCCAGCAGGCCTCGAAAATGGCGACAGTTTCGCAGATCGCAGCCCCCCAGGGATGGCGAGGTCTAATTTGGGTCAGCGCGTGGCCCTCACTGTGCTGGGCCCCCCAGCAGGCCTCGAAAATGGCGACAGTTTCGCAGATCGCAGCCCCCCAGGGATGGCGAGGTCTAATTTGAATCCGCGCGTGGCCCTCACTGTGCTGGGCCCCCCAGCAGGCCTCGAAAATGGCGACAGTTTCGCAGATCGCAGCCCCCCAGGGATGGCGAGGTCTAATTTGAATCCGCGCGTGGCCCTCACTGTGCTGGGCCCCCCAGCAGGCCTCGAAAATGGCGACAGTTTCGCAGATCGCAGCCCCCCAGGGATGGCGAGGTCTAATTTGAATCCGCGCGTGGCCCTCACTGTGCTGGGCCCCCAGCAGGCCTCGAAAATGGCGACAGTTTCGCAGATCGCAGCCCCCCAGGGATGGCGAGGTCTAATTTGAATCCGCGCGTGGCGTCACTGTGCTGGGCCCCCAGCAGGCCTCGAAAGTGGCGACAGTTTCACAGATCGCAGCCCCCAGGGAGGCGAGGTCTAATTTGAATCACTGTGCACCCCCCAGCAGGCCTCGAAAGTGGCGACAGTTTCACAGATCGCAGCCCCCCGCGGGCAAGACAGGAAGAGGCGGGAGGCGGGAGGCGGGAGAAGGGACGCGACCACACTGCTCTATTCAAAACGAATACCCAACCAAGGAGGGTTGGGAAAAATGCGAAACATCACGACCAAAGCCCTGGACCCCATCGTTCTGCGTCATATTTCTGGCCAGATCGATCCGCGAGGGTCCCATGGGGCCCGAAATGTGGCGAGAGCGCCAGGCTCAAGCAAAATTGAGACACCGGCATCTCTGGACACGCGCGCTCCACTGTTCGCAAAGTAACTACTCGCAAGTGGCCCGGAGCCGCTGCGGGAGACTCACGGTCCACTACACAGAGAGCGACACTTTTTCTTCGGACGTTTCCGAGTAGGCACTTTGCTCAGGTCGGGCGTGTCCGGACCAAAAACAATTCATTGTCGAAAATGCTAAGATATTCAAGAATACTCAAAAAATCCTCCACAAACTATTTGTTGGACTATGTTTGAATTCACCTCCTGTGGAGGGACACGCCCGACTTGACACTTTGCGAGAAGCGGAACGCGAGCATTTCAGGGGACACCAACAGGGCAGTTTTTAGTACATTGGATTTTTTCACATATTTTGTTTAAGAAAGAACTTTTAATACATGATGAATGTATGAATGTATGCATGAACTCCTCGTTGTTGTTAATACTCAATCCCTGCATCTTGAATACATGATCCACACGCGGAGCAGGTATTAAAAACGGCACTGTAGGTATCAAATCGGCCCTGCGCCTCACCGCGGCGCCCAGCGGCTTCGGCTGCGCGCGGATGGCCGCTCCGAGGGCCCACTGCCGCGCCTGGCACGCGCGGCGCGCGGCGCGCGCGGCGTGGGCGCGCCACGCCGCCGTCGCAAACGCCGCGCGGCCGTCGTCGTCGTCGTCGTCGCCGCCACCGCCGCCGTCGTCGTCGCCGTCGCCGCCGCCGTCGTCGTCGTCGTCGTCGTCGTCGTCGTCGTCGTCGCCGTCGTCGTCGTCGTCGTCGGGGCCGCTGCCGCGGCCGCCGCGCCGCCCCGCGCCGTCGCCGTCGCCTCGGCACGGGGGCGGTCCCCGATCTCCGACGACGCGGTTCGTTTTCCTCGACGTTCCTCGAGGAGGGGCAACGATATTCCTCGATACTCCTCGATATTCCTCGATACGGGGAGACTGGCATAGTAGGGGATGCTAAAGGGACCGAGGGACACACAAATCGATACGCACACCAATCCCAGAACTCCCCATATTTCTCAATACGTTCTGGGTGCTTGTCTTCCCCCCAACTTCCCATAGTTCCGCATCTTTTCCTGGGGTTCGACGATTAACTGTGTCTGTGTGTTTCCCCCTCCGGCGATACGTCGCCGATAGATCGGCGACAGGCCCCCAATGAGAATGTCCGCACGCTCCTGGGCAGGCTGGGGCTATCGGGCCCCTACCTGTTATCAGTGGGCGACAGGGGGTCGAGGCATTCCCCCACCAATGCCCATTCCCAGGTCTCCTCCTCCTCCTCCTCCTCCTCCTCCTCCTCCTCCTCCTCCTCCTCCTCCTCCTCCTCCTCGTCCTCCTCCTCCTCATCCGTCCTCAACTCTCACCCTCACCCCGACGGGACGCCTTCAAGACCTTGTCGTCCACCTGCCGTAGGGGGTACCACACGGGCGAGTAGACGGCGAGGCCTCCGCATCCCCGACGCTCGACGCGCGCGCGCGCGCCCGCGTGCTACCGCCAGAGCACCGCCAGGGGGGGCAGCATGGCCCGCGGAGGAAGAACTCATCTCTCTCTCTCTCTCTGTCTCTCTGTCTCTCTGTCCCGGGGAGGAGGGCGGGAGGGAGGGGGGGAGGGTTGTGATTCGGACGTCAGTTGGCATCCAGCCTCGGTTCCCTCAGGAAGAGAAGGAGGGGAGCGAACGCCTGAACCGTGGGTGCTCCTCTGGGGAGCGGGGCGCACACCGCCCGTGCCCACGAGGGCATGGCGTGGAGGCCGTAGCCTCGACGAAGAAAACTTCTCTTCAGGTTAGTCGTGGGCACGCGGAGGGATTAGGGAGGAGGAAGGAGGGAGGACGGAGGGACGGGACTGGGACTCGGAGTTGGACAACTTACAAAAGTCATGAAACCATGTACCTGGACGCTGGATCTTTGCGCATGAGGCCGCGATGAAAGCGATCCAGGAGCTCTCGGAAGTAGCGACGAGGGTCGAAGGAGGGGGAGAGATGGGCAAAAAGGATGGGAGAGGGAAGAGGGAGGAGGAAGGAGGGAGAAGGTGAGGGGGAGGAGGAGGAGGAGGAGGAGGAGGAGGAGGAGGAGGAGGAGGAGGAGGAGGAGGAGGAGGAGGAGGAGGAGCGAGGAGGAGGAGGAGGTGGAGGAGGAGAGGAGGAGGAGGAGGAGGAGGAGGAGGAGGAGGAGGAGGTGGGAGGGGAGGAGGAGGGAGGAGGAGGAGGAGGAGGAGGAGGAGGATGAGGAGGAGGACGAGGAGGAGGAGGCAGGAGGAGGAGGGAGGGGAGGACGGGAGGGAGGAGGAGGAGGAGGAGGAGGACGACGAGGAGAGAGGAGAGGACGGAACGCCACGGGACCAATCCTCCAAGAGGCCGTGTCTGGTCGGCGGCGTTCTCCGTGATTAGGGACCGGGGACCAGAACCCCAACGCCCAGGGGGTCCCGCTCGGCGACGGGGGTGGGGACCCACTCAGGTGCCCCAGGGCCTTTTTGGAGGACGACTGGTGCCCCTGCTGGCCCACTCGGGTGCCCCTTGGCCTTTTTGGGAGAAGGAGAAGGGTGGGGGAGGGCAGCAGGACGAAAGGGCGGGTGCCCAGGAGAAGGAAGTGGAGCAGACAGCTTGTTGTCCAGGACTTGATTGTCTCGGGCGCCGCCAGACAAACCCAGCTCCAACGATGACAACAGGCGCAACAGACAAGAACAACAAACAAAGGTGCCCCCCCCCCCCTCCCCCCAAAATAAGTTGTTTCAGATGTCTTGGTCGGGATCGGAAGGGCGGGCCTCTTCACCTCCTCCTCCTCCTCCTCCTCCTCCTCCTCCTCCTCCTCCTTCTGAGCAGGAGGCGCCCCAGATCGCTGCTAGGCTCGAGCCCCATCTGGCGGCGCGCAGAGGGGGTCGTCGGAGCAGCGGGGGCGTCCAACAGGCGGGCGTCCAAGAGGGGGGTCGTAGATCATGGCCCATGCAAGAGTGAATCGGCGCCGCGGAGAATCGAGTCGGGCCCATGCAAGAATAAATCGGCGCCGCGTCGGGTCGTCGGAGTAGCGGAGGCGTCCAAGAGGGGGGCGTCCAAGAGGGGGGCTCGCAAATCATGGCCCGAGGCATGTGCGCGGACCAGGGAGGGGCCAGGGAACGTGCTGAAACAGGGAGAGGGGCCATGAGATCTAGGGAGATATCATGGCCCTGGCCATGACATCTACCCCCCCTTAGTCATCACCACCCTCTTGGACGCGCGCAGAGGGGTAGGGGGAGGGGGAAGGCGTCTTAGAAGGAGGCTGCTTCTTAGAAGGCGCTGGCCATGTACCTACAGAGAAAGCCCGCGCCTTCTAAGAAACAGGGGTGATTCTAAGAAGCCGTCCCCCCTCCCTCTACCCCTGACGAGACGAGGCATGGGCAGCGGGATCGGTGCCTTTCCTTATCTGACAGCCTGAGGTCGTTGGCCCCCCTCTACGCCTGGCCGAGCCCCCGAGAGGATCGGGTCTGCGCTTGGGAGTGGGTCGGACCCGGGCCAGGCCAGAAGCGATCTACCTCGACTCGGCTCGACCAGACCGGGCTGGACCCTGGTGCCCTCACCCAGGGCCAGCTCTTCATCCTGAGTCGTTTTCTGACAATCCCGCGAGAGCCCGAAAACGGCGAAAAATCTCAGGGACACAGGTTTAATTCTCGCAACGGGCCAGCTGTTCTCCCCGTAGTGGATCGGGTAGACCTGGGCCTGGGCGGAAAGCGTCCTCGACTCGCGGCTCGCCGGGGCTCTCAAGCGAAAACGATTGCAAGGGCAGCGGCAGATCGGCACCATTTTTCTCACAGGGGAGTGAGTGAGGAGGAGGAGGAGGAGGGAGGAGGAGGAGGAGGAGGAGGAGGAGGAGGTAGTAGGAGCAAGAGGAGGAGGAGGAGGAGGAGGAGGAGGAGGAGGAGGAGGAGGGAGGAGCGAAGGATGCGAGCAGCTCTGAGCAGCGAGCAGCGAGTCTGTGTGTGTGTGTGCGAGACAGCGAGCAGCGAGCAGCGAGCAGCGAGGAGGAGGAGGAGGAGGAGGAGAGGAGGAGGAGGAGGTGGAGGAGGAGGATGCGAGCAACGAGCAGCGAGCAGCGAGCCTAAGCCTGCTAGAGAGCGTAGCTCAGAGGCGGGAGGAGGACGATGGTAGCTAGGAGCAGGAGCACGAGGAGGGAGGTGGAGGAGGTGGGAGTGAGGAGGAGGATGAGGAGGAGGAGGAGGAGGGAGGAGGAGGAGGAGGAGGAGAAGCGAGCAGCTCCGACGCGAGCAGCGAGCAGCGAGGAGGAGGAGGAGGAGGAGGAGGAGCGAGCAGCGAGCAGCGAGCAGCGAGCAGCGAGCAGCGAGCAGCGAGCAGCGACGAGGAGGAGGAGGAGGAGGAGGAGGAGGAGGAGAAGGAGGAGGAGGAGCAGGAGGAGGGAGGAGCGAGGAGCGAACAGCCAGAGGTGGTCGGCCCCGCCCCGCCGATCTTCGGCCCCGCCCCGCCGATCTTCGTCGCCGCCAGAGGCGGCACACCGAGCCAAACGGGGGCGGCAGCCACACCGCCTCCTGCGGGGAAGGGAGGCCTCCGTCAGAACGAAGGAGGAGCAGGAGGAGGAAGAGGAGGAGAAGGAGGAGGAGGAGGAGGCCAAAGAGGCTCCAATAGACCCCCAAGAAGCACCCAAGAGGCCCCCCCCCCCGGAGGCCCCGGAGAACCCCCCAAGAGGCCCAACGAAGCCTCCAGGAAGCCCACAAGAGACCTCCCAGAGGCCCCCGGGAGGCATCCTAAGAGAACCCTCGACGCATCCAGCACGCCTCTGACAGACGACCCCCAGGCACGGTGGCCAGATGCACTGACTGCTCTGTTGAACGTTGCCCTGCCACTGCCCTGCCACTGCTTCTCCCCAAAGCTCGGCTCACGCGACAGTCCAAGATCAGCCCAGAATCAAGCCCGATGAAGCCGGATTCGAAGGGATTCTGCGGGATCAAATAGCATTACGCCAGTTTGGGCCAGCTTCCGGCCACGAATCTACCAGCGCCGATGCTGGACTCAGCCTCCGAGGAGTTGCTTCCTAAAGGGAAGGCCGGCAAGGCGGGGGCAGGGGCAGCCGGCACGGAGCCGGACAGATCGGACCGAGCGGGAGAAAATTCGTCGGACCGGGCCGCATCGGCACGGAGTCGGAATCTGAGAGGCGGAGGCGTATCCTGAACCACCGCCCGGAGGATCGAGATTCGGGGACGTCGGCAAGCAGCGGATCCGGCCCCGAATATATCCATATCCACCACCTGCCGAGATCCCCGAAGAGATCGTTCCCCCAGGCAGTGGTGATGGAAAAATCCCCGCCTCGGAGAATCGAGTCGTGCCCATGCAAAAGTGAATCAGCACCGCGTCGGGTCGTCGGAGTAATCAGCACCGCGTCGGGTCGTCGGAGTAGCGGAGGCGTCCAAGAGGGGGGCGTCCGAGAGGGGTGGTCGCAAATCATGGCCCGAGGCATGTGCGCGAACCAGGGAGGGGAGCGTCCAAGAGGGGGGTTCGCAAGTCATGGCCCGAGGCGTGTGCGCGGACTAGGGAAGGGCCCAAGGCACGTACTGAAACAAAGAGAGGAGTCATGAGATCTAGGAAGATATCGTGGCCCTGGCCATGACATCGACCCCCCCTCAGTCACCACCCCACTCTTGGACGCCCCTTGGCGGCGCGCAGGGGGGTAGGGGCGAGGGGGGAGGGCTTCTCAGAAGGAGGCTGCTTCTTAGAAGGCGCTGGCCCGCGCCTTCTAAGCAGCAGGGGTGCTTCTAAGAAGCCTTGCCCACTCCCTCTACCCCCTTCTGCGCGTGGCTGTCCCAAAACCAACATCCAAAGACGATCGGCCTTGGGGGGGTGCAAGAGATACCGGCGCCGCCACTCCTCGGACCTCTCCCAGAGCACGTCCTGACCAGAAAAAACCGAGGCGGCTCCAGCCGTGGCGACGAGGGCCCCCCAGGAAGCCCGCAGAGGCGAAAGCGAGGCAAGGGCAGCGGGATCGGCACCTTTTCCTCCTCTGACGGCCTGAGGTCGTTGGCCCCCCCCTACGCCTGGCCGAGCCTCCGAGAGGATCGGGATCGGGTCGGACCCGGGCCAGGCCGGAAGCGACCTCGACTCGACCGGACCGAGTTGATGGGGCCCCCAGCTCGGGTAGGAGATCGACTACAGAATTGACTCGCCCCAGAATTCTTGTCTTCATCGGATATACTGGACATGCGCACGAGCGTTGCAGAGTCACGAACAATATACGTGCTTGTTCTAGGAAGTGTCGTGTGTTTTGTGGCCGGGGATCTTCTGACCCGGGTCAATCCAGACCCTGGTCAGTCAGGCCTCGCAGAATCCTGCAAAATCCTGCAAATCCTGCAAGATCCTGCACCCAAACCTAGGTCAATGCGAGGGATCATGCAAGATCCTGCAGGATCCTGCGCCCAAACCCGAGTCAATGCGACCCTGGCCCTGCAGTATCCTGCAAGATCGGGCGCTCTGGCTGACCCCCGTTTGCATTCACCCCCGCTTCCAGGTTCCCGATCTGGTCGACTCGGGTCGGACCCGGGCCAGGCCGGAAACGACCTCGACTCGGCTCGACCCGACTGGGCTGGACCCTGATGCCCTCCCTCAGGACCAGCTCTTCATCCTGAGTGGTTTTCTGTCAGTCCCAGGCCCCTTGCAGGGCCCCCGAGAGCCCGAAAACGGGGGAAAACCTCAGGTCCCGGTTCCCTCAGGGCCCGCTTCCCCCCCGCGAGGATCGGGTCGGACCCGGGCCTGGCCGAAAGCGACCTCGACTCGGCTCGACTAGGCCGAGCGAA